TACAAGTCCGCACATAAAGGGGTCGTATAACCTGATTGCAGACTCTCATCCTAGCTCCAGTGGAAATGCAGCAGCTACTCAGACGCACTCCAGTTGATCACCTCTTCAAGGCCAGCGCCATTTGAGTAAGTCTGGAGGGGGGGGGTGTTACTAACCCCTCCAGACCCAGCACTACGGCTAACGCCATCTATTGTCTGATCTACCCACCCAGCACCACGAGCAACGCCCATCTTAGGGGACGACACGAAGTATGACTTGCCTTTTAAGTTACCAATTCGAGGTTTCTCCATATCCCCATGTTTCACCTCAAAGCCTCTTTGTCAGCTCCAATTCGAGGAGAGGACTTGGCTCTGGGAAGTGACCACAGGATCATCTATCCTCTAAACCCACGCGGCAGTGACCACTCACCGCCTCTCTACAATACTCAGCCTTTACTCGTCAGCCATCTCAGCTCCTCACTTAAGTACTTATATGTTGTATTAACTCCCCCTTAATGTCCACTTCAGCTCAAGATTGTTTTATGTTATTAATATGTACATACTCGTTAATGTTTAGGTTTTTAATGTTAATACATGGAACAATAGAAGTACCTACCGTGTTACCATTAATGGTGAAGTAAAAACGAAATAGATTGGGAACGCCATTGTATGTAAGTGCGTATATGTGAAAACATCGTCATTTCTCTTCATAAGAATACGAAAGCAACATTTATTACTGTTCATATATGTTTTAAATAATACTTACTAATGTAAAACAAAAATTCTACTCACAAATGGTGGTAAAGTCTAAAACATAAGGACAGCCAATGATGTGTGAGTTTTTACTCGGATGATTTCGTCAATCAGGTTCAACTCGGGCTGAAGCTGAAGCTTTCCATAAAGATATCATAGCTGTTGCTGAACCTGAAGTTGTTGCTGAAGCTGCTTATGATGCTGAATTTGATGGTGTACCTGAAGTTGGTGGTTTATGTACAGGTCAAGTGTGTTTTTCACGTCCCTGTTAATTTTAATGCTTCGTTCTGTTAATGGATCCACTTCAGAAAATAATATTATGTTCATTGCTTGCTCCATATAATATCCACAGACCTCTCACCTTTTTCATATCGTTTTAACACATCTTTTAGTTTTTGAACCAGCTCTATCATGTCTTGCTCTCTTGTTCATGTTGAATAGGGACACAAAAAATGACCTAAGAAACCTGAGAATGTTTTTCTCCTTTTCTTGTTCAGATGCGTGAAAACAAAGGTCCCGCCAGCTGCGATTGTTTATACTAGCGATGCTGGCGTCACTCTCACAAGCCCGGCAGCCTCCGTGTGGAAAGCGTGATTTTTGTATAATACATATCGGGATTTAGTTATTATTTATATGAAAATGTAATTTTACTTTATTTTTTGTAATATTTTTGTCGTAAATACGAAGAAAATAATGGTGTAAATTGAATGGAGTCCTAAATTAAATTAACCAAGGTCTTAAATATGAATCGTCATTAGTAGAACCGTTATTGTGGGAGGCTTTCCTGTAGTTAATGGATGTAGATGTGCTTGAGTCAAAATGAAACTGTTATCAATAATGTTCTTAATATATTTATCATTTGTCTTTCACTTTGAGGGACTACACTTAATTTCCAGTAGAGTTCCTTTGGTGTTTTATCCTAATTTATGAGCTTATGTGCTGGCACTCGGCTTGTTATGTAAGTCGTCCTCTCATGCTTGTATTTTTGTCTGACGATTCATGAGGTATCCTTAGTTTAATCAAATTAATGGCATGAAAAATTACAGAATTTATTTGTAACTTTAGAGTGGAATTATTTTTAATGGTTTATATACTAAGTTAGTGTGAAAACTGCATGAATTAAGTTAATCTAGTTAACTGGTGTTTAATTCTTGCCACCCCTTATTTGGAATGCAAAATTGAATAGATGAAGTTAAAGTTAATAGTGTGGAATTATTTTTCACTTTATGTATGGAAAGGTAATAAAAATACTTTTGCATGTAAAATATATATTATTGAATTTTTTTTTTAAATATATGTACTGTACTGTATATAAACAGTGGGGTCTCATCTTGCGTGGGTATATTGTACTGATACACGTCCACGCATCGGATATCCGCACTAGTAATGCCATTTAACAGTTGTTAAAATTGCTTTATGTACTGGACTTGTCAAACCTTTACTCTAGAATGACTTTGGGTAACCAACTTGACCTTCCAAAAATGACAAATAATGTCACATTAAGTGCATCTACAGTACATTATTAAATAAATTGTGATACTCCATGGCCTCCACCGAATAGTGGAGGTATGGGAAGCTCTGGGAGACAATGGGATCTGAGGCAGGGGGTGAAGGCTAGTCAGATTCAGAGCCTTCAAAATCAACTGCAGACATTTGTAAAGCAACTTAAGCTTCATCACCAATCTCCAAAGTGGTAGGGTCATTGTCACTGAATTCTCCTTGATCTTCTTCACATTGTTGAGGCATAAAACAGGTGGTGATGAGAGTTTGGCAGCAGTGTTTAATAAATTCCTGGTAATGTTGTCTGTAAGGTTCCACCAGACTGTCTAACTGTGCACGGAGTTCATCACTGCGTTGCAGGCTGGGCTCAACACGTTAAATCATCCTTGAGTTCTTCAACCTTGCTGAGAACTTTTGTCACCTGCTGCTGAGTCATGCCTCCTTTGGTCTGCTCTGGTACCACCACACCACTAACACTTCCTTCTGCTGTCTCAAAATCACTCGTCATCTTCCGTCTTCTGTAGCATGCTGTCCAGTGAAGTGGATTCCCCTGTCTCTTCAATAACTTCCATCACATTGTTCAAATTCACCTCACTAAAGCTTGCAGATGCCATTTGCCTCATCATCACCACCACACTTGCCACATTCTCTTAACAACACTTGAGTGTTCGTCACATCACCTGCCACAGGCTACCGTTGTCTCCCGCCATGCTCCAACCAAGTTACCAAGTTATTAGCTGCAGTATGCACGCTGAACTCCTTCCAAAACTTGAACACATTATCCCCTGGCACTTCTTGTAATGTGATAAAACATATACCATAATAGGCTGATCATAAGAGAATGTAATACAGGTAATGTGAATAAATAAAAATAAACTGGGCAAATGTGGCACAACTAGTCCCCCCACCCCTTTACGGAGAGAGGAATAACTGAACAGGGAAGAAATTACGTATGTAGAGAACAGTACAGTACAATTCCTTCTGATTCAGCTTGTTTTATTTGAAGTCAAATTATATACTGTATTGTATTTTGTTGTATTATTTAATGCTGTATGTTATTTATGATGAAACATACACCATAATAGGCAGATCATATGAGAATATAATACAGCTCCTCCCCGACTTACGACCTACTCGACTTACGACCACCCGCACTTACGACCTGCCTCAGTCGTACCAAAATTTGGTCAAATTACATCTTTTCGAATCCCAACCTCAGTACACAGACAAAATTTTTGTTTGTAATTCACTTTAAAATGGCTGGCAAGTGTAAAAGTGAGAGTTTTGTGGTGCTGAGAAGAAAAAGAGACACCCATTTTAGATTTTCTATTTATTATTTAAGCATTTTTTACTTTAGACCATTTCAACTTACAACCTGGATTTGGGTCCCTAACTCCGTCGTAAGTCGGGGAGGAGCTGTACAGGGTAATGAATAAATAAAAACAAACTGGTGAACGAGGCAATAGCTAGTCCCCCCCCCCCCCATTCCAGCGCATTTAGGTATGGTGTCATCTCTTGATATTGGGGTCAATAAATTCAGTTCTAATTAACTTAAGTTAGAAACACCATTTTTTTACCCAAATAATCCTGATTAGTTAACTAAAAGTTTGGTTAAATAAATATATTAAATAAATAAATCTGCATGATACAGGTGTGCGAGGTGCACACACTCGGTTGAGAGAGAAACGATAAGCAACCCTTTGGTGGGGGGGGGGGGGCACTGCATCACCCCTCAACCTTCTCACTGTACTCCCTGCCTCTACCACCTCGACTCTACCTTCCATAATTATTTAAGTAAATAAGAAAAAAGAATGAGATAAGGTAAGAGAAATTGTGTAAAGAAATAAAATGAAAAATAGAAAGAAGTAGAGTAATTAAAGAGTAATAAAAAGTTGAGATAAGAAGGAAACCATGTCTGTGGGAAAAAAAAATATTTTTCCTCATTCTCTCATGTTAGTGATTTGACATTTACCCCGGTATGCAATATCAGGTCACCCATTGTATATATATAAACTCTTCTCTCATTTGTGGTGAAGGTGGGCTGAGGGATTAGTGGTCTCATATTACTGACCTGATGCATTGTCAGGATAAGGAATTAGCTGGTCTCATGACCTGAAGATGTCTTGAATAAAGACGAAATTAATATACAGTAATGTACTGTACAGTAGTTCAGTTCATTAAAAAAAAAATATTTTTATAAAATATATTACCATTAATGGGGATACTGTACAATGATCTAATCAGATTTAATATAGGCCTAGCGAGAGTTAATAGGTACAAGAGATGACACCATGTGTAAACGTTCTGAAGGAGGTGGGGGGGGGTGGGATTGGCTGTTGGCATGTTTGTCAGGTTGTTTTTATTTATGCATTACAGTACTGATACATCATAAAAATAATGTCCAATAACTAAAATCACCAAGTATGGGGCTAAGTAACCAAAAGATCACAAGATTAAAGCTATACTGCTACCCGCACTACCCAATGTTTTCCGTGTAAACTATAACTATGATTACATTTCAACCAATTGTGTAAGCGATAACTGTGCACGTGTTACCCACATAAAATGAGACCCCAATGTGAGTGTGTGTAGATTTTCAAAAATTTGCCTGATGTTGTAAATGGATTTTCAGGTTCCTTTGTGACTTCATTTACTACTTGTCCTTAAAGCAAGATAGATCTCGTTCAGCTTTCATCCATGTCCCAACTCTCCGCAAATTTCTGGCACAAGATATTTCTGCTGCCATTGCTGCTGCCATCAAGGAAATGTACAAACAAATTGTTCAGAAAGATCATCAAGGAGGAGAGGAAAAGCTCAATAGAGTGTCTCCTACAATTAACAAGTGGGATGAGAATGCTGCCAGGGAAAATGAAGTACTACCAGATGAGAAAATATCTGTAGCTGTCTGACTACTGGATGCTATTATCACTTTCCTCACTCTCGGGGTCTTCACGTGTAAATGTGTGTAGGTATGAAGTTTTTTTTTTTTTGTGGTCCAGGGTCTTCATACTTATTAATGCATATGAAATTGGAACCTGAATGGAAAATTTTCAGAGTGCAGGTGGGACCCGAGAGTGTTAATATTTCACAGCTCGGTGCATGTAAGTGTTGCATTATTAGAGTAAGATTACATTGTGTGGCCTTTTTTCTGCCTTTTATGTTTTTGGGTTTGTTTTTTCTCTTGGTCAACTGTGATAGATATATTATTGACCAAGAAAAGATATGCTGTTGGAAACAATCACAACATTCCAACTGCTACAGGAAATAATTTTGAACTTACCAGAGGATAGGTTAGAGGTTCATTAAAATTATTGTAGTCATTTTGCCCTTATAATTTTTTTATTTTTTGTGCATATATATTTTCATACCATGGGTACCTATTTTAGAAATTTTACTTATAAGATATACAAAATAGTAATATAAATTCCTAGAATAAATGAATATTATAGTAGTTAAAATATATACAGTACTGTATTATTAATGCAGTATATGTATGTTTGTCTACAGTAAAGACTGGGTTAATTTCTTATTGATTGATGTCCTGTTCATTGTGGCAGTTTCATAGGAGTATTATTTTCATGGAACACACCACTATTAAGTTGAATGCAAGCCTCAACAACCAGATCAATATATCCCACTAACATTTGTCATCTTCTGCTGCCACACTTCAATAGTTTTGATAAATACATTAAAAATCTGTTGAAACAACTAACATTCATGGGGTTACATTACTGGAAAACACAAAGGATGGTGATTCCCAGATGTTGAAGCAAAATCCTATGAGAAAAGGGAAATTTGGTTCCTGGCTGAAAAATTAGCCCCATAGCTTGTCCTATAGGGCCAACATGTTACCACAGGATCTGGTCAACACAAAGTCTTCCGTGCAGAATGACAATTTTTATTTTTTTATTTATTTATTTTTTTAGATTTTCATCAAAAATTCTAAACAAATTAGTGGCATTTTACTGTACAGTCACACCTCTAGAGAGTGTGTCTCTAAAATCCAAATATTTTTCATATAGTATACTGTACTGTATAAACTATGACTTAAAATTTTGTCTCCAACAGAATTTCAAGCTTCCAAAGTTCAGTTGTTTGGTAGAGCAGTAAATTTGGGTAAATTATGTTTCACATCTGCAAACACCATTTTCTCACCTTGTGCATTTTGATTAGGTATTCTTCCATACTTTAGGTTTCAGTAGTGTTTGGTTTGTTCTAATGTCACAGCACTAGATAAATATTTAGTAAATTTTGGCCATGAAGAGCTTATGATGGTACAGCAGTAACATGATTATGTCTCACCACTGTGTCATGGCCAGAGATAATTGTGGGAAGGGTGCAATCTAGTGTGACCCCACCAAACATTGCACTGAACAATGATGGTCATAAAATAGTAACAAGCAATAGACCGACCGACCAACCAAATGGATAATAAGCTGATAAATAGTGAAAGTGAAGAATATCATATTCTTTTATGCCCACTGACATCATTGCTTCTTGCCACATATGGTTGTTCCTGGTTTAGTTGTGTTTTAAATTTGAATACACTTTTACAAAAAAAATAAATTTTTTTTGCTTGGCTATACAATACTTTATTGTAGGTGTAAAAACTTAACAACGATTAGTGTAAACATAGAAGTTAATGGATTCCAGGTATACATGTGTGCTTGTTAAGAGTTGTGTAGACAGCAGCAGTCAGGCCTGCTGATTGACCACCTAGCTAGCTGCCCAATGAATTCAATCTTCAGTAATAATAGACTTGTTGAGCTGTGCTGATGCATCCATCACATTGCTGCTATTATCTGTCATTGCAGTCTTGGCAATAGTTGTGGGTTTAATGTGTTAGAATATTAGTGCAGAGAATTAAGAGACAGCTTAGAATAGGAAAACTCAAGGATGAAGAGATGTGTGGGGACAGTGGAACTACAGTCTTGAACACCAATGACAGGCCTGCATACTGTACTAATATGCTTTTGTTTATTTTATAGCACATTCATGTCATTTTATAATGCCTAATTTCATCTGAAATGGCACTCTTTTGCTGGTCTTGACACAAGGTGTGCATGGCAAAGTACTGGCAGTTCTTTCTGTGGCTATCGTGCACAATTTGGGGTACAGTAATTTCTAAAGTAATTCTGTATACACTACTGTACATATACTGTACATAAACAACTGTCATTCCTATAAGGAACTTGAAGTAAATATTACTGGAAATTATGGTTTCCTGTCCTGTTTTGATGCCATCGTCTCAGTAGTTAATGTAAATAAAGAGCACACATGCTGTCATAGTGGGCTGTCAGGATGTACAGATACTGTCCTGTAGACACATTGCACTGTGGGTGCTTATTTTACAAAAGCTCAGCAGAACTTTTAGACATTGGTTTTTAAAAGATGTTAGTTTCTCAGAACTTTTTCCTTTTTATGGGCAAAATGTTTTGATAATTTATGTATGATCATTTTTATAGTATGTAGCGCTACATCTCATGTTATTTAGAACTGAGGTCACATATTATATTTCACATGTTTGGTCCAAAAGGATATGGTCACATATTTAACATTTTTAGTCCAAAAATATATTGTGCTTCATATAGAAATTACTTAGACAAGACAGAACTTGTACAAGTTATGGATTCACTTTAAGTATTTTTACTTGTTACAAATGGATGCTTTTTATTGTGGTTTTATTTATTCATAAATATAGTAGTGTAGATTTTGCATTTATTCTACTGATGGTAAATTTTTTAGCATTGTTTCCCAAAGCAATTAGAGGTATGTCAGCTTAATGTGTTATGAAGTTGATGAGCATATAGTTGATTGGTCTACCTGTAAAATGAATTAAAATATTTCCTTAAAAGTTTGCAAAATCTTACTTGGCATTAATAAGCTTATTAGCCTTAATGTAGTCCACCACTAAAAATTTTGAGAAGTTAAATTTGTGTGTGTGTGTGATTTTAAAAGAAAATTTTATTTATATTATAATTATATAGTACTGTACAGATATACCTCGGTAACCGATGCATGTGCGGACTGCGAAAAGTCAACGAACAGGGAATCGGTGATTTTCAAAGCAATTGATCCCATATGAATACAGTATAACAAATTCAGGAGGATAGGGACCAGCCACCCCCAAAAACTCCCATCCACCCTTGATATACAGTATCTCATTCAGACTGTCAAGCAAAAAAAAGCAGTTTTTTTTTTCTAAAAACCAGTTTTTGTGATATAGTCCAGAATGTGACGTCTAGCTTTATACCTAGGTGTGATAATGCCTAGCAATAACTCGCCAGGCCAACATACAGGCAATTAAAACATCTAATAATTACTTAATACGTAATATTAGGAGGACACGTCTCTACCTGGCATTTAATTGCAATTCTCAATACCCCCTCCCTCGCCCTCCATCATACGCATTGCTACCGTCATCTCTTGCCCTAGAGTGAGCAGTAAACAAATGTCAACTCTCGGGGGGTGGAGATGGGCGGGATGTCGACGTCGCATTCTGGAACATATCACAAAAATTGGTTTTTAGAAAAAAAAACTTCTTTTTGTTCAATCCAGAATGCGACATCTAGCTTTGATTACCCAAGCAGGAGGTGGAGAGGGAGGTGATATTGCATATAAGGCTCCTCTAGCTTAGGTCCAGATTATAATTATAAACTTTTTTTTTAATATTTTCCAATATTAGGAACATTTACCGGAAGGTAAAATGTTAATTTACATATCCCAATTAGGATACTCACTTTACTCTGAAGAGGAAGAAGGTCCTGGTTGTGGTGATTAACTAGATGGGGGAGGGGACCCCAGCACCACCACATGTGAAGCATCTTTCAGAGATAGATGAAGATAGCTGTTTTGAAAGGTTTTTGAAGATTTCTAAAAGCTCACTTCTTTGATTTAACTGAAGCTCATATCCCGCAGAAAGGCCACAAACCCTGCATATTTCCTGGTGTCATGTGCCAAAAATTTCTTGCCAGGGTCTACTTGACTCACTAACTGAGATAAATATTTTGTCATTGACTAGGAGACAATTTCTTACCATCCCCGGATGAGAAAAAATAGGGGCCCCGATTAGGGAATCTGATTAACCATTCTTGAAGATTCCTAACTGGGCACAATATATGAGGAACCCTTGTCTCCTCCATAAGCAGTTTTATCCTGATTGGTTGAGCTTGAAAATCCTCCCTTTTATTTTTTCTTAGGATCTCCGTAGGAAAAAGGGTGACATCTTCCTCAGAAAATACCAATAATGATGGATTATTGGAAATTGAAATCAGCTCACTGATTCTCATACCTGTTGCTATTGCTAGAAGGAAGGCTGCCTTCTGGAGCAATCTTTCCTTGTTCAGATTTATACATTGTAATTAGGCCCCATGAGAAATTTAGTAACTTTATCTTGAGACCAAGGTGGGAAATAGGCCGAGGGGGTCTCTGAATGAAAAAGGACAATCTGAGCATTTGATAAATTCTTGTGTTCAAAGTAATATTAAAACCCCATGCCAGAGGGTCAACCAATGCTGATTTATAAGATACAATTGTCGATCTTTGAAGGCCTTTAACTCTGAACAGAAAATCTAAAAATTCTAACACAACTGTTTCCGACAATGTGATTGGAGTCGTTAACCTGATAAATTGTTGAAAAAGTTTCCAAGCTTTCTCATAATGCATAGAAGTTTGGGGTCTATGACCTGCTATCACTTGGTTAACTATATAGGTATTACCCAACAATCTATTTAAACATTTTTTTAGAAACTCCAAGTGTGAAATGCCAAGGATATCTCGAACTGAGGGTGCAGTACCTGTTCTAGAGATCCCTGTTGCAATTGTACTGGATGCGGGCAACAGATCCAGACACCACGGTTGTAGGATCCAATATGGTACAATTAAGAGGACCTTCCCTTGGAAGGATCTGTGTTTGTGAACCACTTTGAGCAACATTTTCACAGGTGGGAACAGATAGATTGAATTCCAATGGTTCCAATCTATGAGTAGAGCATTTCCTCAAAGATGTGATCGTTCCAGAGATGTTTAAGATGGCATCTTGTGATTGTTTTGTGAGGCAAAGAGATCTATTTGTTGAGTCCCAAACCTCCTCACTAGATTCTTGAACTTCACTATCTTTAGGGACCATTCTGTTTCCGTTGATGCTGGCCTGAGATGGGACAAAGCATCTGCCCAATTGTTTTGTACTCCCGGTATGTGAGTTGCTTTGAGGTAAAGTGTTTGTGTTACACAAACATAAATATATATATATATATATATATATATTTTTTTTTTTAGCGTTTTAGAAGTGGCCAAGATCTGGTTGAGCCTTGATGATTGAGACAAAACACTGCCGCTCTATTGTCCATGGCAAACAGAATCGTTATGTTTTTGAAATTTGTGTTTGCCAACAAAAAGAACAGGAATACTGCTAATTCTTTTATTTTTGATGTGTTTGTCCCAAAGGGAGTTGCTCTACTTCCCTTGACGGAACTCTCCTTTTGAGGAATGGTATCCCCATCCTATTTCGGACGTGTCTGCACAAACGACCAAGTTTGTTTGAGGGGAAACCCAGTGAGATGAACTGATTAGATATTCCAAATTTGTCCACCATGACAGATGATTCTTGATCGGAATAGGGAGAGAGGAAGCAATATTTCTGTTTCTGTGAAGCAATTTCGACCCCAGATGAATTAGTTGCTTCTTCCTTAACGTGCCCAAAGGAACTACTATGGTGGCAAAATTCAACAGACCCAGTAGTTTTTTTGTTAATCTTGCTTTACACAGAAGGCTTCTACTTGGTTTATCACATCTGTTACGTTTGCTTCTGGTAGACTGGCTGACTGCTGATTGGCATCCCAATGGAGACCTAATCAATCCAATTTCTGACATGGTATGAGATTTGATTTGATTTGACCTGGTTTATCTTTAATCCTAGGTTTTGAAATAGTACTAGTGTACGTTGGGTCGCCCTTTGACAATCTTTGAGAGTTTCCCACTATCAGCCAATCGTCTAGATAAGCAAAAAGTTCTTATGCCCTCCTTCGCAAGGATCTCTCTGGGGATGTTTGCCAGTTTTGTAAACACTTTTGGCACAATTGTCAGGCCGAATGGCATCACTGTGAATTGATAACATACCTCCCCCACGTCTTGAATTGTTTCCTCCTTTAAAGTTTCCTCTAGGTTGATAACTGAACCTAGCAGCTGGTCCTGTTCCCCTGTTAGACCTTCCTCTTTTAGATTTCCAAAAGGTCTGAGGACTCCTGGGAACAGTAATATTAATAGCTTGCTCAACAGGTGATCTATACTTAACCAATGATTGTTCATCAAACAAAGCAGGAGAAAGAGGGGAAGAACTTAGCAATAAATAAGCACTACCACTTGAAGCATTATTAGTGGCTTGCTTCCTTAGCTGGGCTTTTAGTTTTAGGGCTTTCAACAACATTTCCAAAAATGAGTTGTACAGGGAATATGGAATCCCTTGTATAGCAGCAGCCAAACATTTGTCTACTTCTGAACTGTCCTCATAGTCCAGCACAAACTTAGTCAATAACTGACTTATCATAATTGCAGACCAAATATCTGCTGCCAACTTCCTAAATTTGAACTCTTCAAGCAACAGTGCAGAAGCAACTGGTTTCAAATTTCTTTCATAACTTATATCAGCATATTTTGGAGATGGCAAATGCTGGGAAAGTTCATACAAGGAACTCTTTTTGTCATTAAATTGGAACTTCAAAAAACTAAACTTGTGAGCATTCCTGTCAGCGGGAATGAATGTTAAGTCTTTCAATATATTAGCCCAGACTTCATCTAGTTCAGAGATTATTTTGGGGCAAATATCAGGCCAAGAAATTGTAGTATCAACCTCTAAAAACAATGAATGATGACCCACAGTTGCTTGGCCTTCCTGTCTATTTGTAAGTGCTGAGAGATCAGGAAGTTTAGAAACATTTTCATGAAATACCTTGAATAAGGAATCCACAGACTCGGATGTGGTTGAAAACAAAGAAGATTTAGATCTTACCAATGTTACCGAAGGCCTGTTGGGATCATCCTTACACTCAATGTTATCCATCAGCTGCGTGGCAGTCGACAGCAGCCTGTTTCCACTCATAGTAACCAACACTTTTGCCCCAGGTGAAAGTGGTTGCCAAAATGGGGACAGGATGAAGTCAGTCTCAACAGGTTCTCCCTGCTCTAGTGACTGAACACTATGATTAGAGCCAACTTCCTCATCCTGATCCTGGAATCCACTAAAATCAAACGGACTAGATAGAGGTTCTTGTAATCTTCTTACTGCCTCATTATCTAGAATATCCAATAACCTACTTTCTTAGCAGAAGCAGGTTGGTCTAATTGGGGATTAAGTCTGTTACCTATCACCCATAATTCTAAACTTTCTGCCAACTTGGGATCTTTCCAGTGTTTTACATTTACTCTTCAAGGCCTTATTCCATCTAATTATAATTTGGATCTGCAATAATTCATTCTTGTCTCCTGCAGCTTGATTAATTTTTAAAATTTGATCATAACAAACTGCATAATTCAGTGGTGAAAACAGGTTGTCTGAGACACAGCTGCTATGAATTATGCAAGCCAAATGAGGATCTAACTTGTTAATCCAAGTGGCTCTACATCCTTGATAATTACATGTAGTATGGTCCCCTTGGGTCTTGGGTGAAACTACTACTACTGAATTCACATCCTCCACTGACAAACATTTCCTTGTATGTAGTGTATGAGCTGAACTTTCCAGTCCTTGTAGCTCACCACTCAACTAGTTCCCCAGGGACAGTTCCATGGTCTCCTCAGAACCCTTTTGCAAACCAGGGACTGTCTATATATATCTTATCCTCACAGCAGTTTGTCAACTGTTGCTTCTTCACCATGTTTATATCATTCTATAATGACTAATCTCTTTCTAATAATAATTATTATAATAATAATCATAATAATAATAATACAGAATTTATTCAGTAAAGGTTTACAATTAGTTTAGCATGTATACTGTGTAGACAATGCAGTTATACATTTCAGCATGTGTAAAGACAATGCCAGTGCAGATAATGCATACAGTTTCCAATGCACAATTGGGGAATGTTCTGAGTAAGATACCAGGCTACAAGTTCAAACCTCTGAATGGGAGACCTATGGTAGCAAAGCAGCAGTCAGTCACTCCCAATCTGGTAACTTCTGGCGAGTTTTACCACTTCTGCGGTATGATTATACCTCATGTGCACTAGACTGGCTGTACTATTGTGACGTCATCAACTTGCATACCCCCTCCCCCACTCCGTTACCAGATAGATGAGTGTCTGGCTACTGCTTCACTACCACAGGTCTCACATTCAGAGGTTCGAGCTTGTAGCCTGGTGTCTTACACAGAACATTCCCTGACTGTACCTGGATGTTGCAGGTATACAACAAAGGTAAACAGTATGGCAGGATAGCTGACAATGCCATCAGATGTTTACTTCCAATAGTATATCTCCAGGAATAAAAGTGAACATTTGTTGATATACATTACAAGCATTATGTTGTGCATAGACTATCCATGGCTGGCATAGAACTTCAACAGTACAGCATATTCAGTGTTTAAATATATAGAAACTCCCTCTTCTCTTGCTGTGGCTTCATCTGTTATGTATTTTTTGGTCTTAGTTTTGAATTCTTTGATAACATTACTGGTTATAATGTGGTCAGGTAACTTATTCTTTACAAAGTTTGTTGTTAAGATACTTTGGGCATAGTCTGTTGAAAACCCTAAGAGCATAATTCAGCCTCAATTGCTTCACTCTACCTGTCACACTTAACATGTCCAGTGATTACAGGACTTCATCATCAATGAACTCTTGTGTTCATAATTGTAGCTTGGCTTTTAAATTCTGTGTTAAGACAGGGTACCATGATGATCAGGAGTAGGCCATATGACAATGTACGAGCACTTAGCAAAAGTTCCTAAAGGCATCAGCAGACACATTTGGCATTTCTGTAAAGAAATTTTATCCTGACATATGTTATTTTGTAATTATTTTTTTATTAATTCTCCAAATAAACAAGAGATGAGTCACCCCAAAGTATTTCACTGAGGTTACAGTTGAGAAGGGTTATCCCACATACTACATTGAATTTGTTTACTCTTTTCAGTTTTATTATGCAAATAATATTGCTTCAATCTTACCAAGATGTAGAATAATTCAATTTCTATCAGCCACTGTTTATGTGATTCTAGTTCACATAAGAACTTATCAATAGCATCTTTACCCAATACTAGAGAGCAGTCATCATTGTGCTGTATATTTTTTTTTTACAATCAACATTAATAAGTGTGTAACTTACATAGCAAAGGCCCTAAGAAACTTCCTAGTGGACTCCACACAAGAAGTGTGGTTGGCGAAGCACTGGTATATATTACTGCACTTGTTTGAATAATTTGGGGAGATTTCTAAAGTAATAATTGCATACAGTACATAGGTAAGCAACTCTTGCCACATGCATGTAAGCTATGCAATGACCTTTCCAGTAGCAGACTGTCACTGTTTTACATGCCAACATAGTGAGTTTAGAACATAAGGTTCTCATTGTTTTCTGCACAGTTGGAAGTAATTCATGAATATTTTTCTTAAGACATCAACAAAACACACTACGATATTAAAATATTTTGATGATAAAATATTAAAATGCAATAAATCAAAAGTGCAGTAAGCAAATTTTAATAAAAAAAAAAGACAAAATGCATTTTGAAGGATTAAACACTTCATCAGTACTGTACAGCATGCAACTTTGTGGAGATAGAAATAGGGGTATGTAAAACTTAATAAAGGTTCTGTGTATTTCTGAACACAGACTTAACACAGCATTTTAATACAGTCCAATATTCATTTGTATGTTCTGAATACAGATTATAAATTAGATATTTTTACATGATATTGGAGGAAAGATTGAAAGGGCAAGTTAAATTGAAGTTTGTGACAGAAGATTAATTTGTTTTAAATTCGAGCCTTCCTGTTAACCTTGTCATACACCTCAGGGAAAGCCTTCTCACACCCCAACTTTGCCCTCATTTTGTCATACAGTGAATGGTCGAACATTTCTCGGTATTCTTCACGAGTCATGTAAGAGTCTGCATACATCATTTGAAAGCTGTGAAAGGAAAATTATATGATTAATATTTATAATTCAGGGTACTGGTTCTTTTACTATGATAATAAAATCCATTAAATGTAAAAGACCCAACATACAACCATCTTTGTTTACATCCTCTAAGCCAATCAGTGCTCATCTAATCAACTTGTACACAAAATGATACCTTTTCTTATGTGAGTTATTTGGCTATTAATAAACACTACCAGTGCTCACTTACCTAAGCAGTTATAGTTTACTTACCCTTTAACCTTTCTTACAAATTTCTCAATTCTACGTGTTGTCTCGACTGGTTCAAATTTCTCAACTTTAGGTACTCCATAAGTCCCAATGTCAACAAATAATGCTTCCTCGTCATTTAAGGGATGCAGCATACCAGGGTTTGCAGGCAACTTGAATGGGCATAACCAGATGGGGTATATCTAAAATGCATCAATAAGAGAAGTTAAACAAACAGTGCATGGATGAAACTTGCAAAATCTAATAACTTAAATATGTATCTAATAGATGTATGGTTGATTGTATTGTACAGGTATTTACAAATCATCTCACACTCAAATATTTCTATAATTACAATATTTTTTTTTCATAAACCTATTTCATAATTATTGATCTTTTATATAAAACTTTTCTCAAAATGTGGCCATCAAATATTCTTGCATACACTACAGTATAGCATATGCAAGTGTAAATGAGGCTATAAACTGCAACTTGATAAGAGGAGGAACTGAAACATACTGTACAGTAAACCCTTGTTATTCACTGGGGTTTGGTTCCAAGGAATGGCTTGAATAGGCAAAACCACAAATAGCAACTTATACTACCTTAGTGCACTACTGTATATCTATACCAAACAACTGACCAGCCGTGGCAGTACTCATCCCCTCTTTTAACTTAATCTAATAATTCAACTTTCTTTGTCAGGATCATCACTGACTTCTGCCTATTACATTTCACTCTACTAGCATCACTAGCACTAGGCAGTCTTTTAAGGGCCATTTCACACAGAAACACTAAAGTTTTGAGAGTACAACAAGAGATGCTGTGTGGGGTGACTTGTTGTGCTGCAGGAAAAGGCTCACAAGTTAGCCACCATTTGCTTATCATGAATCATCGAAATTGCAAATTATGGAAATCGCAAACCCGCGATTGACAAGGGTCTACTGTATACGGTATATTAAAATCACTTCCCCATTTCTAGTGAACAGAGGCTGAGTTATGAAAATAGTTGTATGTTTACAAGATTTGTATTTATATAGGCATTAGATCATTGTTCTATTTTGCATGACACATTACAGAGTAAACTCTGGCTGTGCAGATTATGCGGAACATTTACTAGGCATGTGACTTTTGAAATATAATTGCCCCAATATCTTTTCTGTTTGCCCTGACAAAATTTTGGAGGAAATTTGTTTACCCAGATATCTCAATGGAAAAGTTAAATAAATATCTTATAACATTCAAATTCATTGTGTGTATCAACTAATAGATCCCTTGTGTCCATCTAAATGGTGTCAGTGGTGGTAACACTTGTCATGTGAAGTCATAACTCCTATCAGTTTAGTAGTTCTTTTGAAATGTTGGCAACTTGACACCAACTGACAAGTTCTCATCTAGGTATTTATTTACCTCTCAATATATTAGTTAGTCTGGGAATGTCTGGTCTGCCAGGCACTGCTAATCTACACAGCAAGGATAAACTCCTTAAGTCAGGGTCTAGGAAGGAAGTAAGGAAATGTGTGTGTGTGGTAAACACACTTGTATTTAAACCTTCTGTGAGTTTGTGTGCATGTATTTGCAAGTGCACATACTGTATATTTATTAAATCAACATACATATTACTTGCTATCTATTTTTAAATTTCTTTCACCATACTTTCAGAGTTCTACCTCTCATAATTTTTCATTTTTGTTAGCTCGCGCATTACTAACCTTGTTACGCACTTGAAGATATTCCTTGTTGAAGCACAGTAATAACATTATAACAACAACAAACATACCTTGACTTCTTTTTCAAAGACACAGACAGCTTCCTTCATGTCAGTAAGTGGAACAAGCATGTCTTGTATGAAGTGGTTTTTCTCATATAGTTCTTTAACAGCCTCTCCTTGTGTCAACTTGAGCAGAGAGACTTTAGGGGGCACCAGCCATCCCAGGAGGTAACGAAACAACATATTGTTGCCGAAGGGAATTATGTCCTGAAGTTGTGAATTAGTATTAGTCATTAAAGGAGTTCATTTCTATAATTTTATAATCTATAATTTAACTTGATAAACTTAAAGCATGGTTTCATTTTCATTGATTTTATATGTATCCCTCACACACTTACTCTTTTAAAGCATGGGGATACAGTAGAACGTCGATATAACACGAGATACGTTTCCAAGAGAGGTCGCTTTAAACTGAATTCGCACAAAATCAAAGTGTTGTTTCAATGGAATAATTTAGTTTGGTACTTGAGAGAAACACAAAATACTAAAAAGACTGACAGTCTACCCAGATGCACCTCAGCCCATCTCCTAGAATAAACAAAACATTGTTTTTTTTTGCGGTATTATGTTAAAAGAAACACTCATAAATCAACACAGCTAAAACTAAGGGATGCGAAATGGTCTGTTTACGGGCTGGGAAGATGGGGGGGGAAGGGAGGTGAGGTGATATGTTTGACAGTTGATGCCAAGGTCTATTGCTTACCGGTATTTATTTATCTGTTCTTAAGAGTGACTAAGTTTTTCTCTTATAAAATGTCACTGAACTGACCTGGGAGAATATAATTAACATTGCTGGAATTCTTAAAAGATAGTGATTAGTTTGAATATAGACATGCTATAGTTTGCATTAGACGTGAAATTTTTAGTTTTAACTAATTTTATTACAAAGAGCTAAAATTTTTATCTCTTGTGCAAAATATATGACGTTTATATTCAAATTAGTCGCTGTCTTGCAAGGATTCTAGTAATGTAAATTATATTCTCTTAACCTTAGACTGATATTATATAAGATAAAAACTGTAAGCCTATAACCACCCAACCCTTTGAATTGAATTGAGACAGTTTATTTAGCCAAAAAAACACAGATATAGACTGGATAATAATAACAATATTAACATGGCTAAACCATTTGAGAACCTGAGCTCTCTTTTAGGCACCTGATATATACTATACATTTATCTCAAGGAAGTATTATGTAACATTTAGTATCATCTGGAAAAGTACAATAGCATGGTGGTAATAAGAACATCTCATAATGTTACCATGGTTATCACTTCAATATTTATTTGATATTTATTTTTTTTAGTTTATTTTTTTTATTTATATTATAATTATGTATATACATAAATTACAGTGGAATTTAAAAACATAAGTATACTGGGGGAGCAGTACAGCATTACGGTTGAACAAGAGGACAGAGCTGTCAGGATTATGTCTAGTTGGCAAATATGTTTATTGTATTGGTAATTTCATATCTATTTACATGATAATTTCCAATAAACAGTTTTGATGGTACAATGAAAGCAGGTATTGTACTGTAAATATAGTAGGTGTTACAATAAATATTAATACTTAGACAATAGATATTTTTTTAGGAGATGATTTAAGGGAAGGGAGCAAAGTCTTTGCTCGGATGGGTGGGGGTAAGTTGCTCCACATCTTCACACCGTGATATTTATGGAGGTCTGGGAGTGAGAGGAGCGCATGGGAGGTGGTCTTACAGGTTGTACCTCTCTAATTCGGCAACCTCGGGACCTGACCGGTGCCCGACCATGGAAATTAACCCTTTTCCTGGATAGATAGTGACTCGTGCTTACGCTTGGAAGCACTAGCACCACTTTCACTGCTTCGTGGTCTCTTTGAAAACATATTGAAGGGTTAAATGTTGTACAGTAGGTTCTCAAAATTCGCGAGTTTTTAATTCGACGTTTTTTATTTGGACAAAAAAAAATACTACACAATTTAAAATTTCAACAGCGGAAATTCAAATTTCGACGGGTTTGAGCGGCCCGCCAACGTTCAGACGTGCATAATCGTGTAAACAGCGTCATTTCTCTTATGTACAAAAGACTCATTATTGTTTATTACTGAATGTCTTTTTGATTGAATTAATGTTAGTGTGCAAAATGAACAATACAATTCATTAATAATACGTAGAATATTAAAACACACGAGGAGACGAGACGGCATTGTTTTCGTTGTTTACAAAACCAGTGACTGACTGGTTCTACATATAAAACTGAAGAAAATAAGACCCTGGTTGTAGCTGTAGTAAAATTAATGTAAAAAATTAATATGGTTGTTTTAAGTAATGTTATTTAATGTTAATAAATGGAACAATAAAAGTAGCTGACCATTAATGGTAAAGAAAAAAGCGAGACTGCACATATGTAAGTGAGCACATGCGAAAACATATCGTCATCTCTACATAAGAATATGAAAGCAACACTTATTTACTGTTCATATATGTTTTAATTAATGTTTCTGAATTTAAAACATAAATTCTACTCACCAGTGGTGGTAAAGTTGAAAACATAAGGACAGCCAATGTTGTCGTGTGTGTTTTTACTCGGATGACGAAGTTGTCAAGTCATCAGGTTCAACTCTAGCCGATGCTGTAGAACATAAAAACTTTTTCTGTGTTGTTTTTAGTTTTTATTTAACTTTATCTGTGTTATTTTTGTTGGTTTATTAGGATGTTGCTTTATTAGAGGTAGTAATTCGCCAAAAAAGTACAGTAAAAACCAAAAATCCGGATGCCAGAAATCCGGACCACCCGAGAATCTTGACTTTTCGAAAACTCAAACTTTTTTTTTTAAATTAGCTGGCTTTTGTGTGTATGTGCGCATGCGTGAGCGCCACAGCTGCACAGCAACAACAAGCGACCACGCGGTCGCCACTTTAAAACGAGCAATCAAACTGTGACAACGTATGTAATTTTGAGTCCTACTGTTCCCATTTACAGAGTACTGTACATGTACAAACCCATAATAATGGCTCCTAAAGTAGATAAACTTTGTTGTGTGAAGAGAAAGAAGAACACGTTGAAATTGAGTGACAAACTTGAAATAATTAAGAAACTAGAACGTGTTGTGAGCAATACTGTTCTAATGGAAACATACGACATTGGAAAGTCTACAATTTATGATATAAAAAAAGGCAAAGAATAAAATTCTAGAATTCACAGCTTTTTCTATAAAACTGCTTGTTTTGAAAGCATGCTATATTTGCTATGAATAAACTATCAAAATGTACCTGTTCATCTCTTCTTTATTCCTTTCTTTATTCCTCCTTAAATTTGAATTTTAAAAGTACTGCCTGAGAATCCGGAAAATCCGAAAATCCGGACCGACTCAATCCCCAAGCAGTCCGGATTTTTGGACTTCTACTGTAGGTTAAATAAGGCAAAATTTAGCCAAACATCGAAAGTACCAGACTCAAATTAATTTTCTTCATGGGCAAACTAAAATCGTTCTGGACCACGGGAGTTTCCGGACCACAGAATGCCGGACTAGAGAGGTACAACCTGTAGTAGCTCTGGGTGCCTTACGTTGTATCTCTGATTATTCCAGAACTGGAAATAATTATTGTTGAGCAAGTGATTGATAGATTTGTAAACAAAGAGGGCACTGCAGTAGGTGTTAATATCTTCGAATTTTAAAATTTTCAATTTAGCAAATTTTTCATTTGTGTGATCTGTTTTTTTCAAGTAGGTCATTGTCCGTACAACTCTCTTTTGTACAGTAACCAGGGATTGTGTTTTTGAAGTCAGAGGTCCCCCATAGTGTGTGACAGTGTATCAGGTGTTGGTAAACAAGATCATGATAATAGATTTCTTTCATTGCTGTGAGAGTGAGTGACTGTCAAGTGTGATACATGATACCGCACTGTTTATTGACTTTACTGTGAATGGCTTGTATGTGGTTTCTCCAGTTAAGTTTCTCATCAACAATAACTCCGAGGAATTTAGTATTTTGTTCACGTTTGAGGACTGTATTACCAAGGTAGAGGAGGTTCAAGTCTGGGGGTAAGTTTTTCCTTCTGTGAAAGATCGTGTAGTGGGTTTTCTCAAGGTTTAAGGTCAGTTTATTGTGTATTACCCAGGTCCTGACTTTAGTCAATTCAGTGTTCATAGTTCTCATCAAGGAATGGAGGTCTGAGTTGCTGGCATAGAGATTACTATCGTCTGCAAATAAGTTGTATTTTATAAGTGTGCTGGCGTGGATTATGTCGTTTATGTACAACAAAAACAGTACTGTACTGGACCGAAAATGGAACCTTGGGGAATGCCATACAAGATTGGCGAGGAGTCAGAGTGGTGATTATTACAGCAGACATACTGCATCTTGTTGGACAGATATGAGGTAAACCAATTGTGGGGCAGGCCCCTAATGCCGTAATGTTCAAGCTTTGAAAGGAGGATGGTATGGTCGAGAATATCGAAGGCTTTAGAGAGGTCAAAGAATATACCGACTGTGAACTGGCTGTCATCAAAGAAATTTAAGATGTCATTAGTAAAGGATAGCAGAGCACATTCAGTCGACCTTCTAGCTCTAAATCCAAGGAATTTAGTCTACTACATGCTAGCTTCTCCAAAATCTTACTCAAGGCTGGGAGGACTGATATGGGGTGGTAATTCTTGAAGAGACCTTTGTCCCCATTTTTTTTATATGCTGGGTGAACTTCAGCAATTTTCAGTTTATCAGGAAAGTCACCACTAGTGAAGGAGTTGTTACAAATGTGTAGGAGAACAGGTAGTACTAACAAGTGGGCTACTTTCTAAATGATGCTCATTGGTATACAGTTTTACCCCGCTTAACGCGCTTTCACTTAACGCGTTTTCGCATATACGCGGTGCCTTGCCAAAGCTGAACTTTCACTTAACGCGGGTTTTTTCCACATATACGCGGTGAGTGTCCGAGACGCTATTTTTAGATTTGCCCCACCCGCCACCCTGCCTGACTGCCTGTTTTAGCTCATAAAATTCATACAAATTACCAGGCCAGAATATAATTTACATTGCTGGAATTCTTATAATTTGGTGATCATTTTGAATATAAACATCATATATTTTGCTTTAAACTTACAATTTTTAGATAAAATTTTTTCTCTAGGTAACTATGGTATCTTTTGTCCAAAATATATGACATTTATATTCAAAATATTCCTGGTCTTACAAGGAATCCAGCAATGTCAATTATATTATC